TCAAAAAAAAACAACAAAAACCAAAAAAATTAGCCGGGCATGATGGCAGGTGCCTTAGCTGCTTGGGAGGCTAAGGCAGGAGAATCACTTGAACCCAGAAAGTGGAGGTTGCAGTGAGCTGGGATTGCACCATTACACTCTAGCCTGGGTGACAGAGTGAGACTCCATCTCAAAAAAAAAAAAAAAAAAAAGAGAGAGAGAGAACAGCATAAAAAGATAGAAATTGAGTATAGTAAAAAGGCATGGGGGTTAGAAGTGGCATTATTGAAAACAGCAGATTAAGGGGTCCATTTCTCCCCAGAAACACTGAAAAACTTTACAAAACCTGTTGGAATCAACCTTATCAGAATGCTAGGAGATAGCTAAAAGTTTATAGCAACCAGGCAAATGCTTAACCAAGAGAAAGTCCACTGAAACAGCTAAGATTTTTGTGGTATTTTAATTTACCTTAGCCCCACACCCTCCGTAGAGAAGCAGTGATCTTAAAACCAGCAGCTGCGCGCCGTGGCTCATGCCTGTAATCCCAGCACTTTGGGAGGCTGAGGAGGTGGATCACGAGTTCAGGAGATTGAGACCATCCTGGCCAACACGGTGAAACCCCGTCTCTACTAAAAATACAAAAATTAGCTGGGCATGGTGGTGTGTGCCTGTAATCCCAGCTACTTGGAAGGCTGAGGCAGGAGAATCACTTGAACCCAGGAGGCGGAGTTTGGAGTGAGCTGAAATTGAGCCGCTATACTCCAGCCTGGGCAACAGAGCAAGACTCTTGTTTCAAAAAAAAAAAATAAGAAAGAAAGAAAAAAAAAGCCAGCAGCCTGTGTTCCCTGTGCGGATACCTGGTTCTAGAGAGAGCAGAGTGGACCTTGTTCCTTGTCTTTTTTTTTTTTTTTTTGAGACGAAGTTTTGCTCTTTCACCAAGGCTGGAGTGCAATGGTTCCATCTCAGCTCACTGCAACCTCTGCCTCCCCAGTTCAAGCGATTCTCCTGCCTCAGTCTCCTGAGTAGCTTGGATTACATGAGCCTGTCACTGCACCCAGCTAATTTTTGTATTTTTAGTAGAGACAGGATTTCACTGTGTAGGCCAGGCTGGTTTCAAACGCCTGACCTCAGGAGATTGGCCAGATGATCTGCCAGACTCAGCCTCCCAAAGTGCTAGGATTATAGGCATGAGGCACTGCACTCGGCCAGGCTTTGTCTTTTTAACCTAACTAGGGTTTATCTTTGTTGTAACTAACTTGGCACTCTACCAGGACAGAGCAGCTACACAGACTTTTCCTAAAAACAATTAAAAACAAATGAGTAAACTGCTACAGCCTGGGCAAAACAAACAAAAAATGGCTAGAGCAAACCACAGACATGTTGAAAGCCTGAGAGGAAAATCCAGAGAATGAGATTTTGGGAGAGAATAAGAGCTTTGAAAGTTTTCTGTGTTTCCTGGGGAATCTAGAACACCACACACATGCCAAGGGAAGGACACATGCTTAGAGAAGAACTGAGACCATGAGCTTTCACCTCTGTCTGGTCTTTAGACCCTGTGCAAGCAGGAAGTGGAGGTTAAGGCAGAGTTGCAAACAACATGGCTAAGCATAGAAGGAGTATCAACATGGAGCCAATCTGCAAAGACCTGGAAAATTGAGACCTGAAAAGAAAATTTCTTTTCTTTTCTACTGCTTTTTTGCCTTCCTTCTTTCCTTTCCTCCAGGCATTTAAGGAAACATCTGTCAAACCACAATTAAAAATAGGGTTATGAGAAGGTTCTGTTTTTTTGTTTGTTTTTTTGTTTTTTTTTTTGGGAGGCCGAGTCTCGGTCTGCTGTCCAGGCTAGAGTGCAGTGGTGCGACCTTGGCTCAACCTCCGCCTCCCGGGCTCAAGCAATTCTTGTGCTTCAGCCTCTAGAACCAGGTATCCGCACAGGGAACACAGGCTGCTGGCTTTAAGATCACTGCTTCTCCAGGCACGGTGGCTCACACCTGTAATCCCAGCACTTTGGGAGGCTGAGGCAGGTGGATCACGAGGTCAGGAGATTGAGACCATCCTTGCTAGCACAGTGAAACCCAGTCTCTATTTAAAAAAAAAAAAAAAAATCACTGCTTCTCTAAGGAGGGGATGGGGCTAAGGTAAGTTAAAATAACACAAAAATCTTAGCTGTTTCAGTGGCTTTGACTACAGGCCCTCGCCACCATGTCCAGCTAATTTTTTGTTTTTCAGTAGAGACAGGGTTTCACCATGTTGGCCAGAGTGGCCCAGAGTGGTCTGGAACTTCTGAGCTCAGTCAATCCATCCCCTCAGACTACCAAAGTGCTAGGATTGTAGACGTGAGTCACAGTGCTTGGTCAGTCCTTGCTTTTAAGAAATGAATGCTGAAGTACAGTATTTAGGAGTTTTCAACTTTCCAACATTATAATATTTCTAACTTATTGTCAGAAAAGTGAAAAAGATTCATTCCTTTAGCAATCATTTCTTAGGCCCTACTGTGTGATATGTGTGGTGGATGGGCAGAGACATAACCTGCGAGGCTGAGGCAGGAGAATCACTTGAACCTGGGAGGTGGAGGTTGCAATGTGCTGAGATTGCACCACTGCACTTCAGCCTGGTGACAGAGTGAGTCTCCATCTCAAGAAAAAAAAAGAATATAAAACCTGCTTAGAAAACCAAACTCTTTTTTTTTTTTTTTTTGAGGTAGGATTTCCCTCTGTTGTCCAGGCTGCAGTGTGGTGGCACAATTATAGCTCACTGCCCTCGACCTCCTGGACCTAAACAATCCTCCTGTTTCAGCTCCCAAGTAGCTGGGACTACAAACACATGCCACCACACCCAGTTAATTTTTTTTGAGACAGAGTCTAGCTCTGTCACCCAGGCTGGGGTACAATGTCGCGCTCTTGGCTCACCGCAACCTCTGCCTCCTGGGTTCAAGCAATTCTCCCGCCTCAGCCTCCGAAGTAGCTGGGATTACAGATGCGAGCCACCATGCCCGGCTAATTTTTGTATTTTTAAGTAGAGACGTGGTTTCACCATGTTAGTCAGGCTGGTCCTGAACTCCTGACCTCATTTTCTGCCCACTTCAGCCCCCCAAAGTGCTGAGATTACAGGTGTAAGCCACAGTGCCTGGCTCACGCCCAGCTAATTTTTAAATTTTGTAGTGATGGAGTCTCACTCTATGTTGTTCAGGATGGTCTGGAATTCCTGGCTTCGAGGGATCCTCCTGCTTGGACTTCTCAAAATGCTAGGATTACAGTCACAAGAGGCATGAACCACCAGACCAAGGCTTTTCTTCTTTTTTTCCTTTTTTTTTTTTTTTGTTGAGATGGAGTTTCACTCTTGTTGCCCAGGCTGGAGTGCAATGGTGCAATCTTGGTTCACCGCAACCTCTGCCTCCCAGGTTCAAGGGATTCTCCTGCCTTAGCCTCCTTTGTAGCTGGGATTATAGGCATGCGCCACCACACCCGGCTAATTTTGTATTTTTAGTAGAGATGGGGTTTCTCCATGTTGGCCAGGCTAGTCTCAGACTCCAGACCTCAGATGATCCACCCACCTCGGCCTCCCAAAGTGCTGGAATTACAGGCATGAGCCACCGCACCCAGCCTGACCAGGACTATTCTTTCTTGCTCTTTTCCTTCCCTTTCTTCTAACCCTTCTTTTCCTGTAGTCTACATACAGGGATACACACACACACACACACACACACACACACACAGATTTGCTCCTCCATATTCCACTGGTTCCAGATATTTAGCACCATATATATAAATAGATTAACATCTTCTTGTTTTTCCTGTCAATCCAGCCTCCCATGAAACAGCCCCTAAGAATGAAAACCATTTCCTCCCTCAAAAGCTTTCTCCAGGGCACAGTGAGGCAGTTGACAGCTGGCCAGAGAGTAGACAGACACATCTATTCACACATAGTAGGCATAAGGGTATTGCTTTCTTTGTACAATCGTATTTGAAGGGATTAGAGGAGCTGTGTTGCTGTGTTGTTCTTGGGAAGCTTTGTGTCTTTCCATAAAAGGGTATTTTGAGGAAGTCTTCAATGTGGGGATCACAAATGCTGTTATGTCCTCTTTTCCATGAAAATTTCTACCTTGTTTACATTCCCTTACAGGGTGGGATGGATAACTACTGTTTTGGCTTTCCTGTGGTTTGCACCCTTCTTTTGATAGATGAATCCTGATTATACTCTTAATTTCAGGCCATGTGGTTTGACTGGGGATGACCTGGCCATTACACTAGGATTGGATATGTAATCTAGTTCTTTCCAAAGCTGGAACTATTGGGTACAAAGCTCTCATAGTGCTGGGGCTGCTATACTAGAAGAACCTAAGGCTGGACCTGCTGGGATCAGCTTGCCATTCCATGGGAGCCTATGTGAGAATGAAGTCAATAAGGAGAAACACAGACCCAAGAGATAGAAGACAATTCTGATGACACTGTCTGGGATGCTCCCTCAGTCTGAGTAGAGCTTCTGTCATTTGCAACCAAATAAATTTTGAGAATCACTTGAACCTGGGAGGTGAAGGTTCCAATGAGCTGAGGCCGCACCATTACACTCTAGCCTGGGCAACAAGAGCAAAATTCCGTCTCAAAAAATATATCTATAATAAAATGGACTTTCATGATCTAGGGAAATCTCTCTTCCTTTTCATAGCCTGTTTCTTTGTTTTTTGCTTTTTGCTTTTTTTTGAGACAGAGTCTCACTCTGTCATTCAGGCTGGAGTGCAGTGGCATGATCTTGGCTCACTGCAACCTCCACCTCCCAGGTTCAAGCAATTCTTGTGCCTCAACCACCTGAGTAGCTAGAATTACAGGTGCATACCACCATGACCAGCTAATTTTTTTTTTTTTTTTAAGTAAAGACAGGGTTTCACCATGTTGTCCAGGCTAGTCTCGAACTCCTGACCTGAAGTGATCTTCCTCCCACCTTGTCCTCCCAAAGTTCTGGAATTACAGGTGTGAGCCACTGCGTCTGGCCCAAGTATTGTCCATTTCTGGCAGTAGTTCAAGATGGCGGCGCCCGAAGGCACTATGAGCAATTTGGAAAGCAGTAGCAGCAGTAGCGATGTGGAGGAGCTGGCGTGGTGCCGCGAGGCAGCAATGCCGGCCTGGGACTTGGAGCAACGGCCGTACGCGGCAGTGAAGCCAAGAGCCAGTGCTGCAAATAACCAGTTGTCAACCTCCCAACCGAGCCTCAGGCCTAAGGTGGATGAGCATGAACAAGATGGCAACGAGCTTCAGACCACCCCTGAATTCTGAGCCCACGTAGCCAAGAAGCTGGGAGCCCTGCCGATCAGCTTCATTACCATCTCAGAAGTAGCAAAGAGGTCAACAAAAGCTCAGGTACAGAAAGTCGCTTCAGAGGATGATGGTTTTCGCCTTTTCTTCACGTCTGTCCCTGGAGGCTGTGAGAAGGAAGAATCGCCCCAACCCTGCCGAAAGCGCCCGCCCTCCAGCTCCAGTGAAGACAGCCAGGAGGAGTGGCGGCAGTGCCAGGAGGCAGCTGTGTCGGCGTCGGACATCCTGCAGGAGTCAGCCATCCATGGCGCTGGCACGGTGGAGAAGGAGGCAAAGAAGAAAAGGAAGTCGAAAAAGAAAGCCAAGAAGGTGGCGGTATTCATCACCACTGACCCCAGCGCGGCCACGGTCCAGAAGCAGAAGTCAGGTGAGCTCACCAGGGACCAGGTGTCGCTTGGAACCAATAAGAAGAAGAAGGCAAAGAAGGCCAGTGAGTCCTCTCCATTCCCGCCAGCAAAGAGTGCCACTACAGTGGTGCCTGCAAACTGAACCCAGCTGTAGGCACAGGGCTCAGCTCCAATGACAGGGCTACAGGGCTCAGCTCCAAGGACAGGGTGCCCTGGGGACAAGGCATTTTCAAGCCCCACCTCTCTCTCCAAGTTCAAGGACTGGGCTGGCAAGTCTAGACTGCCCATGAGACCCTGATGGTGATGAGGGCTTGCCCGAGAGTCGGGCCAAAAAAGTGGCTGTGGGTGAGAAGCCCAAGCAAGGCCTGCCCTTCTCTGCTCCCATGGGGGCTGGTGGGGGGGCGGGTCCTGTGGTTCCAGAACATTGCATGGCCTCAGGAAAAGGAGCCTTCCGATTATTTGAGACCAGTGGCCAAGTGGTTCCTAGAACTGTCTGAGGTGGGCAGGGGAAGGGAGACCTCTTCCCCTCACCACCTCCTTAGCCTGTTGTGAGAAACTATTTTTAGAAAATGAGAAAAGGGATCCCAAGATGCCAAGGCCCAGAGAAACTTCTGTTCTTCTCCCCTTAGCCCACGTAGACTTCACAGAAGTGTCTGAGAAAGGAAAGATTTTTTTTCACCCCTGGCTTTCTAGAATTTCCTTTGTCTGCATTTGTGAATATACCACACATGATGGTGTCTCTGAGCCGACCAGATTATGGAAACTCAATTGTCAGGGGACCCAAACAAAACTGAGAGTGAGTTGGGTATTGCCTCTGTCAGTGCTGAACCTTAAGACACTTCGAATAAACATCCTCCTCCTCTCTCCAAAAAAAAAAAAAAAATTGTCCATTTCTAAAATATTTGCTAGTCTGAAAAAAAGCAGCTAATTGCTGCATTTTAACTTTGTGAATGATGCTTCCGGGGGGGGCAGCTGGAAATGTTTCCCAAAACCTTTAAAACCAGCATTCTAAAACCTGCACGGTGTGGGGAGCAGCAACTGCTTCTCTCCTGTCCTGGCACCCACTGATGACTTAGCAGTTGGCCAGAGGCCTCCAAAAGCAGATGTGGAAACAGAAAAGGGCCCCTCTCTTCTGCCTGATTTGCTGTGTGCATAAAGGAATGCATGCCCTCAGTGAACCTGTGCTATCATGGTCCAGTAATCTATATCTCCTCAAATCTATTTCCATCCACATTTACTTTGGTACCTTCTGAAATCATGATCCTGTTCAATTTCATTCTCCTGGGAATAAGAATTCATCCATACATTTAAAATATAAAAGAATGATTAGGGGAGGAGATGGGTAAAATCACATTTTATTCTATTTTATAACCCTTTATAATTCCTTTCAAAACACTGTCACAGCATTATTCTGCTTGAGTCCTTCAAAATCCCTGAGAAATAAACCATATTATTCCCATTCTACAGAGGAGGAATTTAAGGCTCAGAGAGGTAAGGCAACTTGCCAAAGTTACACAGCAAATTTGTGGCAGAGGTAGGACTAAAACCAAATAATTACCCAGTCCAGTGGTCTTTCCCCTGCATTACACTATTAGGGACACAGTTCACCCTCTGTCCTGGTAAGTTCATCCTAAGCACAAGTAGCTCTGCTAAGGCCATTTGTAACTCTGGTCCCTTATAACACCCCCTCTCCTTGGCCAGGTCTCTGACCTCAGATCCTACACACCTGTTACCATAAGTGTAACAGCTAGTGCTAGTCACCAAAGGACCCCTCTTTCTTCATAACTTGTTAAGGGTTGGATCAGAATCAAGCAGTAATCATTATCCCAGGCTCCAAGGTCAAGTCTTTTTTTTTTTTTTTTTTAAAGACAGAGTCTTGGTATATTGCCCAGGCTGGACTCAGCTCCTGGGTTCAAGCAATCTTTCTGACTCAGCCTCCTGAGTAGCTGTGATTACAGGCACATACCAACCCAAGTCAAATCTTAAGATTATGGAATATGCTGATAACGGAGTTTTTTTTTTTTTTTTTCTCTCACTATTAATGGGAATTCAGCTGAAGTAATCAACGAGAGTCTGTAAGTGAGGAATTTCTGGCCCCAGCCAAGACACCTTACTTCAGCTAATTCTCCTTAATATATGAGCCAGCTGGGAGAAAATGCGGACCCCAGAAAGAGCCACAAGATGAAACATGATTTAGGAAATTGTAAAAGAGGGGTTGGGGAATCCTAGTACTTCTGGGAAGAAATGACAAACTGTAGCACTTTTCTCAAACAAGCCAGACCTTGAGATTCAAAGGGTCTTTCAGACCTTCCATGCATTCTTCCTTTCCTTTCCTTTCATTTCTTTTCCTTTCCTTTCCCTTTGACTTTTCTTTTTCCTTCCTTCCATTCTTCCTTCCTTTTAAAGCAGTCTAGCCATACAGGGATTAAAATATGCCAGGGATTTAATTTCTCTAATTACTTGGAAGACCATCTGTGCCCTGCTTTGACGCAGGAGTCCCTGCTCTGCCCAGAGAACCATGTGGTGCTCTGCCAGAGCCCCTTTTCTCCAGTATTTCCTACTCTTCATTCTCTACCATCTGGCTATGGGATCACTTTTGTTCGAGAGTAGGACTGGGAGATGGAGCTCTAGACAGAAATCCTCTCCACACAGCTCCGCCCCTGATATCCTGGGGACTGACAATCATCAGAGGACCATATGACATCAGCCACCAGTGGCTACCAACTAGTTTCCAAGAGCTGCATCTGGGAGTAAACCTATCATGGCTGAAGGAGTAGTAACATGCCCCCAACGCTCACCATGGAGATTTTTGCAGTTTTATCTCCCTTCAGCAGACCTGACTTGAGTTCAAGGCTGAGTCATCGGGGTGAGGATGGGAGTATTTTTCTTATGCTTAAATACAGGTTAATGACATTAGAGCAGAATTCTAGTAAAAAAGGGCATGTTTACTAAGTTAAAATTTATTCTTGGCCAGGTGCAGTGGCTCATGCCTGTAATCCCAGCACTTTGGGAGGTTGAGGTGGGCAGATCACTTGAGGCCAGGAGTTTGAGACAAGCCTGGCCAACGTGATGAAACCCCATCTGTACTAAAAAAATACAAAAATTATCTAGGTATGGTGGCACATGCCTGTAATCTCAGCTACTTGGGAGGCTGAGGCTGGAGAATCACTTGAACCCAGGCATCAGAGGTTGCAGTGGGCCAAGATAGTGCCACTGCATTACAGCCTGGGCAACAGAGTGAGACTCTCAGAAACAACAACAGCAACAACAAAAATTATTCTCTACAATGAAAAGCCACAAGCAAAAATTATTTTTTCAGATTCTTATTTACTGTCTAAAATGAGACAGACTTATTATAGGCTGTTTGGGAAGAGGAGAAAATTGATTTAAGTCATCTCATCCTTTTATTTTTAGCCATTGAGCAGCAATTTCCCTTCAATTTCATCTCCCCTCACTCTCTGAAGAATCTGAGAGATGAAGAAAAGAAATGTAAAGATGAGGGCAAGAGAAGAAAAAGGAGGTTGCCTCAAAAAGTGGCCTGCTTTTCCTATCAATGTCTTTTTCTTGGGTATCACTATTGATTATACCCAGCAATTTCTCTGCCTGATCTGCAGCCCACCTCCTCATCTGCAGACATCCAGGGTCCCCCTTCTTTGCTGAAGTAAGTCATGTACTTCAGTTTAGAGCTTCCTGCTGGTTGGGGCATAAAGTTCACTCATTCATTGAGGCCCTGCTTTTCTCTTGGATTAGCAGAGAACTTAGCTCTTTGCCTTGCCAGCTGCAGTCAGAAGTAAAGGGGCCTTGTGAGAGAAGTGAATCTGACTCCCTTATTACGTAGGTGAGGAGACTGAGACTACCCCTTCTCTCATCAAGAAGGGAAGTCAAGCCGGGCGCGGTGGCTCATGCCTATTATCCCAGCACTTTGGGAGGCCGAGGCGGGTGGATCACAAGGTCAAGAGATTGAGACCATCCTGGTCAACATGGTGAAACCCCGTCTCTACTAAAAATACAAAAATTAGCTGGGCATGGTGGTGCACGCCTGTAGTCCCAGCTACTCAGGAGGCTGAGGCAGAATTGCTTGAAGCCAGAAGGCGGAGGTTGCGGTGAGCCAAGATTGCACCATTGCACTCCAGTCTGGGTAACAACAGCAAAACTCCGTCTCAAAAAAAAAAAAAAAATTAGCTGGGCATGGTGGCGTGTGCCTGTAATCCCAGCTACTCAGGAGGCTGAGGCAGGAGAGTTGCCTGAACCCAGTTGGCAGAGGTTGCGGTGAGCCGAGATCGCGCCAATGTACTCCAGCCTGGGTAACAAGAGTGAAACTTCGTCTCAGGAAAAAAAAAAAAGAAGGGAAGTCAAAAAGAAGGGCCTCAGTGGCAGAAAGGTCAGAAAAGTGGGTAGTGGGGTGCTGTTTGGAGCACCCAGTTTTGGAGTCAGACCAACTTGGGTTGAAAGCCAGTGATGCTGAGTAGTAACTTCCACTCTCTAAATGTGTTTCCTTCACTGCAAACTGGGGATAATAATGCTGTGTTCCTTATGGGACTATTAAAATAATTGAATGCATAGAGAAATACAAAATAGTATGGTTGGAACAAAGTAAGTATTTGGAAAGTGGTTAATATTATACATTTCATTTTTTTCCTTTTTTCCCCCTTCTAATCAATGTCAGAAGAAATAAAGGAAATAAGAAGTCACTTTCAAGGGATCTCTGGCTGCTCTGCAAACCTGTTAGTTAGCTATGATATCCAAGCTGCTCGGGACACCCAGAGCAAGTTGTTACTTCTTTCTACTGATTGGGACACTGAGGAATAGAAGAAATTTAATTGTCCATCTTGAGGAATGACATGATGTAAAATAATAAGAAATATGCGTATTAGTCTTTGACCATGGTTCCTGACACAGAGCTTCTAAAACCTGTATAATTTTCTGAGTAATTGAAGCTTCTGACATAGAGCTCCTAAATCTCTTGGAATTTCAGGTGATAGAAGTGCATTTTGTTCTGAGGCAACTCTGTGGGCTCATAGATGGGGGCTAACCACCAGAAAAACCAAGTCATGATTTGAAGCTTGAAACTTTCACCCGCACCTACCATTTTCTAGAAAGAAGAGAGAGCTGGAAATGGCATTAATAATCAGTCACAGCCAGGCATGGTGGTCCAGGCCTATAATCTGAACACTTTGGGAAGCCGAGGTGGGCGGATCACTTGAGCTCAGCCTGGCCAACATGGTAAAATCCTGTCTCTACTAAAAATACCAAAAAAAAAAAAAAAAAAAAATTAGCTCGATGTGGTGGTGTGACCTTGTAGTCCCAGCTACTGAGGAGGCTGAGGCAGGAGAATTACTTGAACTGAGGTGGCAGAGGTTGCAGTGAGCTGAGATTGCACCACTGCATTCCAACCTGGGCGGCAGAACAAGACTCCATCTCAAACAAAACAAAACAAAACAAAAACGAGCTGGGCAAGATAGCACATACCTGTAGTCCCAGCTACTTGGGAGCTTGAGACACAAGAATCTCTTGAACCTGGGAGGCAGAGATTGCAGTGAGCCAAGTTTGCACCACTGCTCCAGCCTTGGCGACAGAAAGAGACTTTGTCTCAAAGGAAAAAAAAAAAAAAAAAATCAGCCATGCCTATGTGATGGAGCTTTCATAAAAATCCCAAATGTGGCTGGACGAAGTGGCTCACACCCATAACCCCAGCCCTTTGGGAGATCGAGGTGGGTGGATCACAAGGTCAGGAGATCGAAACCATCCTGGTTACCACAGTGAAACCCCGTTTCTACTAAAAATATAAAAAATTAGCCAGGTGCC